GGGGCCGCTGGCCGCCCGCCGGACGGGGCTGCGCGCCGCCGGGCCCTGCCGAGGGCACCGGGCCTCCTCGCTTCCCCGCCGCCTCCTCCACTCGGGGGTGGCTCTTTGGTTTGATTTTATTCCCCGTGAGGCCGGGGGGGGGGTAGCGTCCCCGGGGGTTCCCCCGTCCTGCGCCCTCCCCCGCTCCCCCGACGGGTCTGACAGCGGGGCCGGGGCGAGCGGGGCTTCTCCGCACCCCCCCTCGGCCTCCGGGTCTTTTCCTGGGCCTGCGGGCAAGCACGGAGGGTTTTTCTCTTAAAACAACCTACTCAAAGCCCGTGTTTTTCCTCGAATTTTGATTTTCTGAGCGCTGTCACTTCCTGATGGTGTTTTTCTGCACGGCTTACCCCCTGCTTCGTACGTCTCAGCCCTTCAGAGGAAGGGTTGTGTAGCTCGCTAAACAGGGAGCCAAAAAGAAAGCTTTAATCGTTATTAGATACTGTAGCTAATGCTTCTCATACTGTGTTTGTGTGGGGATGGTGTAAGAAGCTAAGGAAAGGTTAAAAGTACACTGAGGGTGGAAGTGATTTCTTCTCAAAATTAGTTCCTCCAAGGCCTTACTCGAAACAATAAGCGTAGCTTTTAATTTGGTCAGTAAACTGAGGTTATTGACTTGCGCCGTGCGGCTGCCAGTTGTTGGGGGGGGGAGAAAAAATATCTCCTTGTATGAGCCAGAGGAGTGGGTCCCACTCCTGTCCTGCCAGGTGCCTTGTACAACGCCCAACAGCAGCGTATCCGTCTCCCTGCTCTGCTTGTTAAATAACCGAGTTGGATGGGGCTGTGAAGCACAACCGCAGCAGCTCGGGGTTTGTGTGGGGCTGTAAAACCCGCCTGCGAAGCTGTGTAAGTTCTCAGGTGGTTAACCCTGCTGCCTTGGCTCTGCTGGAGCTCTCCAGACCCAGTTTTGGTCGCTGGAGATACGCAGGCTAGCTCTGAAACCGGCTACCGTGTGGCGCAGGCTCCAGTCTCGAGTCTTAATGAGTGTTTGCCTAGTGCTTTCGTGTTTCCTTGGATGAAAGGTTTTGCATAATTGGCCATTATAATTGTCTGTCACCCCTAAAGAAGAGCCCCCCCCAAAAGATAAGCGTGGAGGTAGGCAGTTATTTTGGATGACCCAAGTCTAAACCCGCAAAGTGCCTGTAGGTTGTTAATGTTGTTACTGCTTAACGTGGCGGCAGCAAAATGACTGACTTAAAAAAAAAATAATAAATAAATAAAATCTAGTTTTTCCTTGGAGCCATTTGATCAGCATCATCCTGACAAATGACATCTTGCTTACGTTTGAGCTACTTGTTCTTCGGTGCCCAGAAGAATTCCTAATGCGACTCCAGTTGCACCAGAGTTGTGGGTTGGTTTTTGGTTTGTTTTTTTTTTTGCTGTTGAAATCTTAACTGGAAGCCTTTTACAGTGTTTTGATTCCTTTTTAATAAATGGCTAATCCCTTGCTGCAGGGGATGGGAGTGTTTTTTGAATGAGGCGTTTTTGGGTCCTGAGGGGAGGGGGAAGGGAGGGCCTTGTATTGCTTTCCAGCAGCCACCCGCCTTCCCCGGCCCGAGTGAAAGAGCCTTATTGACTGGTTTGGAAGGTAACGTGCCCAATTCTCCTCTTACATGCTAAAAACCATAAATTTGCTGTAACCCAGAGCCTTTGAGGGAAAGAAGTGGAATGTCAAGGAGCCTGGGCTTCATCACGAGCAGCCTGGTAACAAAGGCGGTGTCTGTTAATTGCATCGCGCTTATCAAAATCTCCCCTTCTAATGACAAAGTTCCGTTTTAATAGGTGTGAGAAGTTGTGGGATTTGATTTAATACCAATGTCTTAAAAGCATCTTGCACGCTCCGTATGACTAAGTTGTCTCTTTCATATTTAATTGGGAGAACGAGCAGGGGCTGAGGAGGAAGCTGTGTTCGTTTCACTTGCACTAAATGCTCTTTCAAATTATTTTTTCTCTGTGTAGATGAGGCCTGTGAAGAAGCGTGAGTGACTTGTCAAGCGCTAAGCCGCAGCTAATTTTCTTGCAGGCGTATAAAACATCTTTCTGGGTCCCTTAAAACTGGAAGCTGGTCTTTTAGCACGCTGAGGATGTGTACCATGGCCATGGTGAGCTTTCTGCCAGGTTGAATAGCAGCTGGCAGGGAGAGCGTGCGTTCAGAGAGAGTGGCCTGTAGTTCCTGTGCCAGGAAGGGAGGGAGGTTTTGGGGTACAGAGGTGCCGAGGTGGATTTTTGGTGCTGTGAAATTGAATACTGTGTGCTCAAATACTACCTGGGTGCTGACTGTTGGTCCCTGAGGTTCCAGGTGTCAACACGTTTGTCATAACGTGTTATTTTCACTTCTGGCTGCCCTGTAGCGTAACAAAACAAGCAATTTGGTGTAATCCTCAAATACCGCTTGTTTTTTTACCAGCAGATACAGCGTATTTCAGTATTCCCAGGACAGGTTTGATACCTGGTTTTGGAGAAAACAGCAGCTTTTCTTGTACCCGGTGGTTGAGCCTGCAAGGACAATGTAGGACTGGTTTTAAACCTATGATTAAAGATAATGTAGCTTTGGAAGCGCACATCTCTCATCCTGGTCTGCTTTTTTTGGCTCTTGTGGATTATTTGGCCATTGGATGTGTTACTAGATGTTCCTATCCGTGCACTTAAGCTTTCGAAGGAGATGTTAGTTTAGTGAAAGCTGCTGGTTGGAGATGAGCTTCCCGGCTCTGTAAGCTCTGCAGTGAGGAGGGCACAGGAATGCTGCTTTGGTACGTGAGGCTGCTCGCTTTTTATTTGTACCATATTTTACTGGGTTTCTTTTCTAAGCTATTTTGATTCTATTAGCTTATTAAAGTCGGTGTGACACACTTATTTTGATGTGTGAATGTTGTCCTTTTTTAAAATGTCATTTTCCTCCCCCCCCGCCCCTACAATGTGAATGGGGATAATTGCTTGTAGTGCAAGATACTGGCTGTAACTGTGGGATTTGTATTTGGAATTGATAGTTGTGGAGTTTGTGTTTATTCCCCAAACAACTTTTCCTTTCTGCCTTGTTGTGGAAGGGGAATATCTGCTGTATCACTTGCTAATCCTGCTGTTGCAGTCTTCTGCCTAGGGCGTAAATAGAGATGTATTTATCGCTCTAAGCACGGTGGTTAGTTTTAATCTAGGTTTTTTTGGGTATCTAACACAGAGAAAACCCAGCGGGAGTGGCTTTGGCAGAGGGTGGGCTTGGACAGCCAGTTTGTGGTACAACCTGGGTGTCTGCAGAGTCATGGCAATGGGTGTCAGAGGCAGATAGATTAAATATAGCTCAGGTGTGCCTCAACATGTTGCAATTGCACCTCCTATTGCAGTAGGGACTGTAATGTGAGTGTTTACATAGATCACCCTCCTACACATCAGAGGTTCAACTACATCTGATAGTGAGTTGCTGCTGGGCAGCCACATGACTGCTTGATACTGCTTTGAGAGTAAAAATATACTACAGAGGGATGCCTAAGTGGCTGTTAAGAAGGTGTCAGCTTTTTAAAAAATAAGTGTATCATTAAGAAATGACTGTTTGGTATTTTGGGGTGCAGAAAGTAGTGTTATTTTCCATGTGGTCTTAAAAAAAAAATAAAACATCCTCGCTGTATGTGCAGTTCCTAGCAAAGCAGTGGCATTTTTTAGGCAGCACGGAGGCTGAATTTCTGCCAGTGAAAGTCTTGCAGTCCTAATGTGCCGTTCTGTAGGGTGCTTGGAAGCTAAGATGCAGTGTTCTTCTGCCTTGCAGCAAAACAACTAGTGATTAAAAATTCAGCAGATGTTGTGGTTCACTTAACTACTTGTTCTTGCATCATTCAGGTCATATCACACAATTAATGTTGCTAATGTTCAATCTAGCTTTTTTTTTTTTTTTGTTCTAAGAATGGAAATTATCTGAACTACCATGGGATTTACGGGACTGTTTTGGCAGGAACTGGGCTGTACAAAGTAAATTATTCAGAAATGTTTTCATCCTTCCCCTAACTTGGAGAATCTCCTCTTGATTTCTCAAATATTACTTGTTCGTGCCAGACAGGGCTTTCATTTTCTGCAGCTTTTTCTCACTTTAAAAATCAAAATTTTTTTTTTTTTTTTTTTGATTGCTTTGAGATAAACGAGACTCCCTGGTTGGGAAGAGGAGGTGGGGGGAAAGAGCACGATGGGGAGAAGTGCTTCTTTTCTTACTTAAATTTACTATTTCATTTGGCCACAGAAGTATTTTTGTTTGAGAACTCTGGTTTTGTTTTGGGAAGGTTTTCTACTGCTCTCCGTAAATCTACTTTTAATTTGCACAATTTTGGTTAATAGCGTTCGATCCAGTGTGTCACTGACTT